AAGTAGAACAGTTTCTTGAAAATGTCTCACTGTTTGACTTTTTACAAGGCTGAAGTCATTACTCATTCACCAGCTTACTAATTCACCAGCTTCCTGAGGCGCCAAAATGTAACTGCTGCACCATTTAAGGTGGAACGGGAAAATCTGAACAAGAATCTGGTGAATGAGTAATGACTTCAGCCTTGTAAAAAGTCAAACAGTGAGACATTTTCAAGAAACTGTTCTACTTTTGCGGAAAAATTTCCTGCTGGAGATGTGAGAAAAGCAGTTATAGCTGAGCTAAAGCTTAAAGCAGAGTAAAGTAAGTCTGTGTTTTCATTTATATATTATGTTTTTAGCCTTTACTAGTACATCAGCACATACTGGGACATATTTACAGCCAAGATGGTAAAATGGACATAAAATGTTGAGGCTCCCAAGGTGGTTTGATTTTTGTTGAAAAGACAAAATTGCTCTTCTTAAGATTTAGGTTGCGACCCCTGTTCTAGATCAAGCCTCTTGTCTTTCTGGACATACACAGTTACACATTTTGTTAACAGACTAAATCTACACACCAGCCTGCATTCAGAAAAAACTACTACTGAACCTGCATCAGTCCTCCCTGCGTCTGCGATCCGATCTAATCAAGTTAAGAGATCAGTCTCGCGGAAGAGCAGAGCCAGCAGATAGCGAAGTTGTGACTAGCTTTATTTGGAAAGTAAACATGCAGAAAGAAGCTAAACACAGCAGCGGGGATGGATGTTGTCAGCGGGACAAGACCTTTCCAGAGAAGGACCTTTCGGGTGAAATTTTGAAACTATAAATAAAATAAAAGTGCAGGACACAGCAGGTCATATTGTAGGAAAAACTGTTTTCAGTATGACAACAAATACACAGTGTAGGAGACGTTTATTTATTCATTTCTTATAATGCTGTCTTTGGTGTTTGTTATGTAAGTATGGGCCAACTACAGGTCAAAAGGTCTTTAAATAGAAAGAGGAACTGAAAGAGGGTGTGGCTGACCAGGAGCACACAGCTTTTGAGCTTTTGACCTTGCGGTTGCGGGCTCCTTTCTCTGTGCTCTAGCATTCTTTGTTTGTCTTATATTAACTTTACTTCTGGTTATACGACCTGTAACATTTCAAGTCTGTATTAAATCATAGCTTATTTTTTGGAAATTTGACTGGACCTCATTTTTGTTACAAACAAGCATTAGAAGATTCCCAGTGAACACAACTAGTGACCCACAAATGAAAACATAATTAGGATGAATAGTCGACAAATGACTGTTTACGAAAGGTGTAAGTGGTCATATTTGCATATGTATTTGCTAACAATACAATACAACTTACACGTCTATGGAAGGAATGATTTACTGTTTTCAGAATTGAAATCGCAATTAGAAAGAATGCAAGTGCTGCAAAGTTTAACTACAGCCTACAAGTGGGAAATTTTCACCTAATAACACAGAGCTTGTGAACTGCCTGTAGATGAGTCAGACCAATTCGAAGCAACTGAAAATCCACATGATGTTTATATGAGGACACAACCACAACTAGCAGACAGTCTAGCATATTACACTCAGTATATAATCCATTTTCTTTCTTGAGCTTGAGTATCTAAACCTGGATTAACAGAGAAAGTTGTTAACCGCCTTCGTAAAACGAGCTGATGGTCTTTGTGAAACGAGTTAACCACAGCGATGTTTGTTAGATGTAGTGGAGCTGAAACAGAGTCAGGAATCCTGTACAAACTGAACCTCAAACCGTTTAGCTCTGTCTTACGATTACAGCCTTATTAGGGTAGAGCTGACATGATACCACCTCTCCAACACCGATACTGAAACCCTGAGCATCGGCTAACTTGTAAAAGAGATTTTAATCTCTAGTTTATGAAAAGGTACAAATACAAACTTTTCACCTGGAAAAACTTATTCAAGGTTCACAGTCAGACCTTAAAACCACTGTTGTACCTTTGAGGGAACATTTACACTGTTTGTACCTTGATGAATGAAAAATGTACCTGAACAGAACCTTTATTTCTAACAGTGATTGTGCCTGATGTTTCCAGGGTTATGACTTTTTCTCGTCCACACATTTACCAGCAGTGCTGTTTAATAAGAAGTGTCTACTGAGGCAGAGAACACGCCCCTGTCTGTGTGTACGGTGAGTGTGTATAAAGCCATTCACTGCACTAATCCCACACTGTTGCCGGAGGGAAACTTTTCAGCACCTCTCCAAATTCCATCTCTTTCTCTGACGCCGGACCCAGGATTCGCTGAATTTCAAACAGCTCTGTTCCCTCCGTGCACTACACAGACACTTTATGCCCAAACAGAACCATCTTACATTCTTATCAAGGCTGCTACATGGTTTGGATGTTCCGTTCTGGGAAAAACCTTTGATGTAGGCCTTTTTGTAAGTTCTTTAAACTTTAAAAAAATTCTTCACACTCACACATCTCATTTACACAAACTCAAAGGTTCTTTATGGAACCAAAAGAGGTTTTAAATTGGGATTTCTTCAGAACCCTTTACTTTAAAAAGTGTATGATCAAGCCCCGTCCTCATTCTCTTTTTTTCTGCACCGATTTGTCAAAGCATCCATGGGTTTGGTCCCTACGCTAGATACCAAGAAAGCGTTCTTTAAAACAATTTTGGCTCTTTAAATAACATTTCAATAGACATTACCTTAAAAACTCATCTGAACCCACTGAACTGAAAGGTTAAACGGTTTTAGGAACCAAAAGTAGTTCTTCTAATGCTAAATAATCCTTTTCGGCATCTTTATTTTAGAGTGTAGAGGCCGAACCAATAGACACTTTGGCATATTATTGGGTGGAAGCTGTAAAGGTGTCAAAAAGATGCTTTAGAATCACTTTCAGTTCCCTTCTTTGCACAGTTCTTTAAAAACAAACCACTCAATTGAAAATGTAAAAAGTTTTAGGGAACCAAACATGTTTCCTCTAAACCACTGCTCTGAAAAAACCTTGTAGCACCTTCATTATTAAGAGCCTCCTCCACAGCCAATCTCACCAGGTGGCTCCTTCTCCCCAGTCACATGTCCTTAAGGAGTGAGCGAGCTGGGCTGGACTGGGCAGGCTGGGGCTGTGGCCCAGAGGAAGCAGCCGTGGAATGGGAGGGAGCATGGAGCGGGGGATGAAGGGGCTCACTGTATTAATGCCTGGACACGTTTCAACTCGCTCACTTCCCCTGCGACGCTTGGGTCAATGCACAAACCTGCAACCCCCAGAGATGAGGCTTCAGTGGACTGCGCATGAGCCACGTCCCCCAAAACCCCACGCCCATCTGTCCTGAACTCCAGCCTGCAGTGAAGAAGTGCTGTTTTATTACCCTATTCTGCAATTTCGTCATCTGCAGAGGGAGGATTCCACGCTTGGCTTTCCTCCAGTACCATCTGAGTTAGGAACACCTCAGCCTTCTGCTTACTTTGAGCCATGATCTCACGTGTTATCAAGCACTGGAGAAAGCACAGGAGAAACCACAGCTGGTCACAACTGAGGTCAACCTAAACAGATGTGAAACAGCCACTCAGGCCTTGTAATCATCTATCTGAGCTCATGAAATAGAGAAGTGGAACTTGGTTAGTTCACTTTTCGCTGGAAGAACATGAAGCTCTTTTCTGAAGAAAAACACAAGACTGAACATTTTGTCTTCTTTCTTGGAGCAAATCAAGCCCAGCTGACTTGATGTTTTTTCCAGTTTCTTGTCGGAGCCAACGGAGCCCAGTCGGCTGAACCCTGTCTTTCATTTTCCATGGATTTCCCAGCAATGCCAGCCCACTTTGGTGGAGAGTAGATCAGTCCCAGCTAACTGAACACGTTTCCGTACTTCTTAAAGAAACTGAAGACCAGCTAACAGGACTTTTCCTCCACTTTCCTGCACCATATACTGAGTTCGTTGACTAAATAAACCCCAGCTGACCAATTAATGGAATAAACAATGATCTCAACTACCTGAACATCCTGAATCCAGCTAACTTAACATGTTCTCCAATTTCAGGAGCCGTATGGACGTTCTTCTACTTTATGGAGTAAATATATACAACATAACTTCAGTAACCATCTTAACTACCTGAACATTGTCCTGAAAATGAAGCCATTAAATAAATGTGTTGTATATGGTTCTATTTGGCACTTTTTTGAAAACGGTTCCACATAACACCAGAAATGTTTGACATTGTAACAACAGCAGAACCCTTCTTGGTTCAATACAGAACCATGAGTTCTATATATAACCCTTTTTGGTTCTATATAGAACCATTTCCTAACTAAATGTTTTTTTTGCCTGGTGCAATGGTTCTTTAGATTGACGAAGCATGTGTTGTATATGGTTCTAACCTTTTTTGAAAATGGTACTTTACAGAACCGTTTTTGAAAATGATTCTATACAGAACGTTTTTGGAAATGGTTCTATTCAGAACCTTTTTTAAAAAAGTTCTATACAGAACCTTTTTTAAAAATGGTTCTATATAGCACGAAAAAAAGCTTGAGATGGTAACAACAGCAGAACCCTTTTTGGTTCCATATAGAACCACTTCCTGCTTTAATGGTTCTTTGCCTGGTAAAAGCGTTCTTTAGATTGATGGACAATGTGTTGTATATAGATCTGTACAGTACCTTTTTGAAAATGGTTCTATATTACACCAAAAAGGCCTGACAACGTAACAACAGCAGAACCCTTTTCGGTTCTACATAGAACCATATACAACACATTCTCCAATCTGAAGAACCATTTCATCATGCAAAGAGTCATTTAAGCAGGAAATAGTTCCGTACAGAACTCATGGTTCTAAATAGGACCATTCCCTTTACACAGGAACCCTTGAAGAACCAGTGCTCTTTGGAACAGGATTTTCCATTTCTTGGAGTAATTAAACACAAACTAACGGTACATGTTCTCTAACGTTTAGAAGAAGACTAAGCCCACCTAACCGAACACCGCCCCCCACCCCTCTCTTCCCCAGTACTACGTAGGCGCCACGGCTCTCAGGGTGACTCACCACAGGGCCATGCGGTCCTTGGGGTAGTTGAGGCGGTCGATGGCTCCCAGCACATACGGCAGAGAGTGCTCCGAGTTGCGGCAGAGCAGCGCCGTGAGCAGCCGCGGAGCCAGCAGCGGAGACTCGGGGCTCCAGCGCTCCTCCGGGAAGTAGCCGCGGCTCAAGCCAGCCAGAAGCAACCACGAGGCGACCAGGAGCAGCAGGGCGATCGGGTGCATGGTGGAAAAGAGAGCGGGGCGAGGAGAGAAGACAGAACAGAGTGGAGAGAGAGAGAGAGAGAGGAGAGCAGGGGGGTCAGAGAGAGCTCACACGGCCGGCCTCCACGGTATCAACGTAGACAGTAATGCACCATAATCCTGCGCTGTAGGCTGGAATTAAAGGGGAAGTCTCTCTAGCCGTCCTCAGTGGAACAGGAAGGGGCTGCTGTGGGGAGTCCAGTTTTCAGACCCGCTCCAAAACACGCACGAAGCTGAAGAAGGAGAAAACGTGTCAGAAGAGCAAATATGCGCGATCAGGTGTAGCGTTTAAAAAGTTATAGCGGTTGTGTCTGAATTGTGGAGGACTGGCTCTTTAAAGTCAGACAGCTGCGTCCAGTTAGAATGTGCCAGAAAGATTCGAGGCGTGACTATATGCGAGGGGGCGTGGCCACAGCTGTGAAGCCTGAAACAGAGCTATACATGTATACAACGGTGCTTCATACACACACACACACACACACACACACACTATATACATACATACATACATGCATATATATATATATATATATATATATATATATATATATGGTCCGTATATATATGGACCAAAAGAAATGACCCAAAATGACTTGGAAAGACGTCTGGTTTCATTGACTTACATTAAAAGTAAAGTATGTTTTTTCCTTCTCCTGTAAAGTTGCCATTTTGGACATACAGTAGTTTCCCTATGAAAAACATCTTGATAAGAACAATCATATTTTGCTCTTATTATTCTATATATCCTATTGCTTTAAAGAAATGTTCACTTTTTATTTTCCCTGAATTTACATTAGATTTAAATATGAGTAATCTTCATATTATATGAATTTAATTAACTTCAATAGAACACATACACAAAGTAATAGTACACAGTTAGAAATAAAGGTTCTGTTCAGGTACATTTTTTTGTTTATTGAGGTACAAACAGTGTAAATGTTCCCTCAAAGGTACAACAGTGGTTTTAAGGTCTGATTGTGAACCTTAAATAAGTGTTTTCCAGGTGAAAAGTTCGTATTTGTACCTTTTCATAACCGAATTTTTTTTAAACAGAACAGTAAAATAAAAGCCTGGAGACGAGACGGGGTGTGTGGAGTCAGTACAGCTTAGAACATATCATTTCAGTGGATTATGGTTCAGTTATGTTCCCTGACTAAAGGTACTGAGATGTACCCTTGAGGGTCCCACCCCAGTGACAAGAGGGGCACTGCATCAGTGATAGTTTCGTACCTTTATTTCTAAAAGTGTAGGCATCTATAACAGTGGTATAATCTACAAGATTATGTGTAACAGTAATTCCCAGATGGAGTCCTGTTGTCCACCTGCACTGCACAGTTACATCCTTGTTAATAATAAAGTCTTCCTGCAGATGAATCCAGTGAGCTAGAGCGGGAAATGTGATCCTGTAGTGTCTACATGGGGATGTGAAAGTTTTCTCTAAACTTCTGAAGAACGTGCTAAATCTGTGCAAAGTGCGACCCCTGCTGGACTGACCGGGAATCACCAGTAAAACTCACTCTGCCTCTTCGAGTTTAACCCTAAAGCTTAACTGTCGATTGCACATACATTTTAACACACGCACACATATACACTGATACATATATATATATATATATATATATAATATATATATATATATATATATATATATATATATCAGTATTAACTTACTTGTTAGTTGTTATGGTATAGTTAGGCATTCATTCCAAGTGTTGCAAGTGTGAAGTTGATATTATATGATGTATAAGATATATTCATTTGATGTAAACTTTATTTGCCTATAAAATGTAGCAACTCAAACAGTAACCCCTTGATTTAAAAAACTGACTGTTCTGCATTCAAGACACTGTTATTCTTGAAGTTCATAGTCCTATCGGCTTGCTTTATTATCTATATTGTAATTGTATTAATTATAGTTCCTTATGCAATGTGGATGTAAATATTATAAAATGTACAGTAAAAGGTATTTTAAGATGTTCCAATATATATTTTTACGAGAAGTGAATGAGATGCTAAACAATATACTGTATTCTATTTACATTAATATTTAGTCAGGTTTTCTACCCTGAGGTATTAAATATTATCAGTTCTGGATATAAATTTCACTCTACCTTAGTTTTCAATGTTCTCCAGGTTTCTCTGTCATTTCAAACAAGTCTCTGTTCAACATTCTGCACTCCAGGGGCATAACTGGAGACTTATGGAAGGGGCTAAGCCTTCACTACTGAGTCAGAGGACATGGGACCCCAGGACAAATTTTTAATGGCCCCAAAATGTCTGTTTGTCATGGACATTCAGAGTCGCAATAGCCATGAAGTTGATCAACACGTGTCAAGCTTGCACACGGTGTCTCTTCTTAGAACTTGTGTTGGTCCAACTTATTTTACTACATACTTAAAAATATGGTTCTTCAAGCATTCTTTAGTAAAGGCAATGGTTCTATTTAGAACCATGAGTTCTATATAGAACCACTTGCATGCTTAAATGGTGAAATCATTCTTCAGATGGTTCTATATCAAACATTTAAATAAAATGGTTCAATTTAAGAATGCTTTTTGTTGCTAGATAGAACCATTTTCAAAAAGGTTCCATATAGCACCATACACAACACATTCTCCATCAATACATAGAACCTTTTCGCTATTTAAGCAAGCAAGAAAGAGCCATTGTCTTTACTAGAGAATGCTTGAAGAACCTTTTTTAAGCATGTAGATTTGGGTTAAATGTGATCACTATGATGCACAGTGAGTTTAGAACCACACTCAGCAAAGGCAAGGCTAGATAATTAACCTAAAGTACACACACTTAAAAATAACGGTTCTATATAGATAAAAATAAATGGTTCTATATACATAAAAATAATTGTTCTATATAGAACCATGAACACTCAAAGAACCCTTTTACATGCTTAAAGGGTTCTTTGCATCATGAAAGTGTTCTTCAGATTGATGGAGAATGTGTTGAATGTGGTTCTTCTATTATTACAAGCTTGACATTGCAGCATTAGAAGAACACATTTTGGTGCTAGATAGAACCATATTCTCCATCAATCTGACGACCCATTTCACGATGCTAAGAACCCTGTAATCACACCTAAGGGCATTATCTTCTGACTGGACGTTTTTGGGAGGAAACCCACACAGACAGAGTGAGAACACGCTCCACACAGAAAGGATGCTGGTCGCCCGGCTGGGGAATTGAACCCAGACCCTTCTTGCTGCGAGGCAACAGTGCGACCCACTGTGCCACCCTGCTCCAACAGCAGTGATATGTTGCTCAATTGCATATACTGTTTTGTTTCCAGTCTAGAATTTATCGTCTTGTGTATTTATATTTATATTTTCCCACCCCATGCATGAGACTCTGGCAGCACTGAGCAGCTCCTTCCGTGACCGGCTGCCTCACCCCAAGTGTGTGAAGGAGGCTATCGCAGGTCCTTCTCTCCTGCTGCTGTTAGACTGTACAACCAGCACTGCTCCCAAAGGAGAATCTCTTCCCTTCCACACCTACAGAACATAAACTGTGAATTCATTACCATTTCCTGTGTACAATATAATCAATACTTACTATGCACAATACCAAGTGACAGCTGGAGTGGTGTAAAACATGCCATTGCTGGACTCCGGAGTAATGCCAACACATAAGTTTGGTGGATGAGGGATAATGCTCTGTTTTTCAGGGTTTGGGCTCCTTAGTTCCAGGGAAGGATAATGTAATGCTACAACATACAAATACATTTTAGACAATTACATGCCAGAATGTCAGGAATAATATAATAACAAGTAGGTATTCGGTTCAGATAAATAGAAGTTAAAGATGTTTCAAATCTAATTATTTAAATAAATTACAGATACTTTAAATAAAGCATAAATACTTAAGTGTAGCAATTTCATGTACACACCTGTCCTCGAGGTTAACCACAAGGAAATAACTTTGCATATAACACTTAGTGTAAAGATTTTTTTTGATTTTTGGGACGGCAGGGAGGCAAACTGTAGTGCAGAGAGGAAAACCTGTGAAAAATTGTCTTAAATGAATTTAAAGAGGTGATGGAGTGTGAGTTGAGGTGGCTCAGAGTCAGGCTCAAACTACCAATGTACCAATTGGCGGTCCGAGGAATTACCACTGCACCACCATGAAGCACAGACAACAATGGGATAAAACATCTCAAGGAATGGGAAATAAAAAAGGCAGGAAAAAGGCAAACAAAGAGGATGCTGAAAGCAGCATGTTCAAACAAAGGCTGAGATAGAAAAGTGAAATAAAAAATAATCAGAAAACAAAATACTTCCTCTGTGATTATAAGAGGAAGGCAGACTTTATGTTTCACCTGCTTGTTGTTTGTGGACCTTGGAGCCGTTTCTTGTTCAAGCCTTTTTTTGGTTTTTAAGTAGTTTTGGGACAATTTCTCTCTTTTGTTTTTTTTTCAGCCCTCTGTTCTTTTTAATTTCCTTTCCTTTCTTATAAATATCCACCTGGGCTAAGTACCATACCGGTCACACCTCTACAAAGGTGTGATAAAGGGCTGCTGTTTGCCCCAGCCTTAAGTAAAGGAGTTGGGCCTAATCAGCCCAAGGGCTTCTAGGAATTGGAGTTCCCTGAAAGTATGGCACCTCGCTGCTGTCACCCTCTGCTGGCGGCCGGCGGTGCAGGCTGGGCCCTTACATAATGTTTATATTGTTAATTTTTGTGAAGGATAGAGTTTATATACTTTTTTAACCTTCAGTTTAATATATATATACACATTATATATAATATATAATATATATACATATATCATATATATATATATATAGTAACAAGTAACAAACTGTAGAAACCTTGTTAAGTAATTAACAAGGTTATTTACTGGTTTGTTTATTCTCTTCTTGTTACTTCTTTTCTTTTCTTGAGTATCTTGCTCTCCCTTTGCTGCTGTAGCACTGAGAATTTCCCCATTGTGGGACTAATAAAGGATTATCTTATCTTATTGTTCTGTATGTTTATTTTCTGGTGTATTTATTGTGTTTTCTTGCACACTTACTGTTGCATGTTGCACTGTTGGGCAAGAATGACATTTTGTTCCATTTATACAAGTTGTACCGCAGAATGGCAGTAAAGACCACTTGCCTTTTTATTTATGCCTTTCTTATTAATGTCCAACTAATTATTTGAAACTGATGAAGTTGTGCTGGACCAGCATGTTAGAATCATTTTATAACTTCGTCTGCAATCAAATTAGCTTGATATTTATTGACAATATTGATTCCAAGCTTTTGAACAGTGACTTTATCAGCTGTTCAGCACGCACTATTATAAGAGATCGATAAGACCCTATATGCAAAATATTTACATTTATTTGTAAGTATAACTCTAAAATACAAATCCAATTCCCAAACCAGTTTGGACATTGTGTGATGTGCAATGAAAACGGAACACAGTAATGGTAAGAAAATGGTATAAAAATGCAGGATTTGAAGTTTTATCTCGTAAGCTTCATTGTTTTTTGTAAATATATGCTCATTCTAAATATGATGACTGCAACATGTTCCAAAAACATTGGGACAGGAGCTTGTTCATCACCTTTCCTTTTAACAGCACTTAATGATCATTTGGGGACTGAAGACTCAAACTGATCCAGTTTTAAAGCTGTATTTTTGCCATTCTTCTGTTACACAATTCTTCATTGTCTTATTTTAAGCTGAATAAGACACTTTTAAATGGGAGACAGTTCTGGATTTTAGTCAGGCCAGTCTAGCACCCCTGTTCTTCAGTGGTCAGGACCCCCACAGAGCAGGTACTATTTGGGTGGTGGATCATTCTCAGTACTAACGTGGTGGTGGTGTGTTAGTGTGTGTTGCACTGGTACGAGTGGATCAGACACTGATTATCAGACATCTGATAAACCTGAATGAGTTTTATTGGAGATCATAGTAGTTCATGATCGAAGTTCAAGGACTGTTACATGTCAGTGCCTGTGCATGTATGTGTTTGTTTTCTCTCTCCTCTCAGCTGCTCTTCTCCTGCCCCTTTTTGCTGTCGCTTTTCTTCATAGGTTACTTGGGGTGTCAATCACCAGCACATCCTGGATGCCATCTGGCCAATCAGCTTGCAGAGTTGAGCCCAAGAAGGTGGAGCTTGGACTTTAAAAGCAGTACAACAGAGTTTGTCATCAGCTCTGGGCATTATGTTACTTATGTCTCAGTGCTTGGTTCATTTGTTTGGTTTCAGACTGTGGTCTTAGCTCTCTTAGTGTTGCTAGCTTTAGCCTTGTAAGCATTTGTTCCTGTGATTCTTTGTTGTCAGTCTACAAATGTTTGTCTGGGTGTTCTGGCTTTAAAGTATCTTAAACTGGTGCTTTTCTCCTGGGAGGAAGGGCAGGTTAGACTGGGTGTGGACCTACATTTACATGAGTAGGTATTCTTATTATCTAAACACACTAGTTTAGAGGCAGGTACCACTCCTTGTATGCTGTTATAGCTTAGCATAGGGTGGCAGGTAGAACTGTTTAGCGCTTAGCTTGGAATAGCTGATTTTGTTGATTTCTCTTCCTTGGTACTGTCTGTAGTCCCTCCTGGGTAGATTGCCCAATCACCCAGTACAACTTTAACAACTTTTCTATAGCAACTTGTTCATAGCTTAACTTTTTTGTGTGTTTGGTTTGTTGGTCTGTATAATAAAACTGTTACAATTTTTATTTGCATGGTACTGGTCTCTGCACGCCTTTATTGCACTCCTCCATCGTCTTGTTACTGTCCCTCCCTCCTCCTAGATCTGTGCCTACGGTTGGGACGTAACAAGGACGTTGAAGGATCTGGAGAGATTTTGTTTGAAGAATTGGTCTCTGATTCAGTTCAGCTGGAGTCCACAACAGTATCAAATTCAGGATTTCCAACAGTTGTTAAACCTCAGTTTCAATGAAAAAAATGGACATTGACACATTTAACCATTTCATGCTTTTAAAACAAATAGCATTTTTCACACATTAAAATGGAGTCATGTCATAACATAAAAACATACAAAGTATCAGGGATAACACAAAAAACCCAGAGGCTTATTTTCATTGTGGTCACTAAAACAAAAAATCAAACATGTCCTATGTTTTCCCAGCAGGACTCTGGTTTAGGCCCTGCCTCGTAATCCTAGACAGGATCCTGTCCATCCCTCTTTCTACACCAATTACCTTCACTTCCTCCTGAGAAGGAGGAGCTACACTGTCCTAAAGTTTCCACTTTCTCTGTGTTCAAGTAAACCTGAGAAGCTTCCTGAAACTCGCTCTTTCACTTTCACCAGTTCAGATCTCTCTTTTGCTGCTTCTCCTTCCCATTAATCCTCACCTTACTCCTTGTTGGCGTCTCCATGGCTTCCTGTCTGAAAAATGATCTCTCCTGTATGGTGTGCAGCAAACTTTATAGGAATCCTCAGCTGCTTCCCTGTGGACACAGTTTCTGCCGCTGCTGTCTGGACAATCTCTGTACCGCCAACTCCACTTACGTCTGCTCTGTTTGTCACTGGTCAACAAGACAGAAACCCGTGGCCAATCTGGTTCTGAGGAACGCCTGTGAGTCGTACCTGAGGGAGAAAGAGAAGGAGAACAACGAAGAAGTCAGATGTTCTCAACACGGAGAGAAAATGAACTTCTTCTGCAAGACGGATGAAAAAGTCATTTGTACAGAGTGCAAAACTTACAGCCACAGCTCTCACAGAGTGCAGCCTCTGGCACAAGCCGTACAGCAACACAAGGTGAGTAAGAGAGAGAGAGAGCAAAAACAAAATAAAGAAACGAGAAATAATGGCAGAGAGAAAGAAAAAAACTGAAAAAGCAAGACAAGCCTGAAAAAGCAAGACAAGAAGAATCATGAAAGAATCTGAGGCTCTGAATGACCTTGTGGTTGATACCAATTTAAGAGGGGTTAAAAGTTCTGATAACTGACAATATCGACTGATATAATTTTATACTTATGTTTTAGGATTTAATTGTACACTACACTCCTAAAAAAGATGGTTCTTTCAGGGTTCTTTAGTAAAGAAAATGGTTATATATGGAATCATGAACAAGCAAAGAACACTTTGCATGTGATGCTCTTCAAACTGATGGAGGATATGTTGTGTAGGGTTCTATATAGATCCTTTTTGAAAATGGTTCTATGAAAAAGTTCTATATAGAACAACCTCCATCAATCAGAAGAACCCTTTCATGATGCAAAGAACCCTTTACTTATACGGAGTTCTTTGAGTGTTCATGGTTCTATATAGGACCATTTTCTTTACTAAAGAACTCTTGAAGAACCATCTTTTTTAAGAGTGTATCTTTTATAAGCAGTTTTAGTTTTAGTGAAAGCTTTTTTTGTGTGTGTTTATGTCATGCTAAAGGTGAGATTCTTGTTATTTTGACCTTGATGGTGTTTTGTGGGATGTCTGGTAACCTACTATCTTTACATGACATTAACATTTATGGTATTTAGCAAGTCTAAACTACCCTTCAGCTCAGATACTGCCAGACACAAAAGCCAGTGATGAAACCTAGAAAGAAAAATACAGAATTAAACATAGCAAAGGTGCAATGCAATGCATTTCAGCGAGTTCTTAGATTATTATTATTTTTTTTTTGCCGATACCAGTAATATTGCGGGTCACTCATATCAGCCGATATTATCAGCCCATATATCACTCTGCCCGTACTACAAAAGGTATAAATGTATGGTGTCTAGTACAATTTAGTGTGTACATACAACGTGTATGTGTGTGTTTGAGAGGGTATATGTTTACCTAGACACAACCTCATAGTGAGTCATCTCTCCACAGAGACAAGTCAAGGCTGCCCTCCGTCCTGCTGAGAAGGCTTTGGAGTGTCTATGCCACGGCACTACTGGGCACGCCAAAATCAACAGATTTATTCAGGTGACACTTTATGACCTTGTGCAGGCCTATATTTGTTTATAATTTTCTTCAGTTTCATTCATGGCCTGAAACCTGAACTTGTGCTTATATGTATTTATGAAATAGCAGGATGGCACAACAGCTTGCGCGAGGGACATATTGAATATGTCCACAAACATGCCAGCCAGTTCTGATGAGCAAACCCTGAGTGCACACCCGGGGATGTTGTCTGGGCCGGCTGCTCTCCGTGGGTTTATTCTCTGCAAGGTCCTGCGCACATCCACTGATGTCACAGTGAGCGATGTGTTCTGTGTGCTCTCCTTGGTCATAATGTCTCTCAGTCGGCCAGGGTTGAGGGTCTCGAAGCGAGCATAGAACTCATTCAGCTCATCAGGTAGTGTAGTGTGGCTGGTTGTGACCACCCTGCTGGTCTGTTGGTAGTTGGTGATGTGCTGCAGTCCTTGCCACATGCACCGGGAGTCCGTGGTGGTGTAGTAGCCCACCAGCTTTAGCCTGTACTGTCTCTTTGCCTCTCTGATAGATCTACGCAGGTCGTATCTGGACCTTTTGTAGTCTCCAGTGTTGCCTGAGAGAAATGCGGCATGACAAGCATGTAGCATGGACCGAACTTCACCGTTTATCCAGGGTTTCTGGTTGGGGTATTTTCTGCAGCGCTTTGTAGGAACAATGGTGTCAATGCAGCTGCTGATGTAGCCCGTTACCCCAGAAGCATAGTCCTCTAGATCAATAGTACCGTCCTCTCTCACAGCAGCAGCTCTGAACACATCCCAGTTTGTACTGTCAAAGCAGTCCTGAAGCACTAGATCAGTTTCTTCATTCCACACTTTGATAGTTTTGCTCACTGGAAGTGCTTGCTTGAGGAGTTGTCTGTATGCTGGGTAGAGGAACACGGAGATGTAGTCAGACAGTCCGAAGTGTGGCCATGGCACAGCTTTGTAAGCCCCCCTCACATTGCTGTAGACTTGGTCGAGTATGTTGCTCTCCATCGTCGGAAAGCTCACGTGCTGATGATACTTGGGTAGGACAGTCCTCAGGTTGCAGTGGTTGAAGTCGCCAGCAACAATGAACACGGCGTCCAGGTGCGCGGCCTCTTGTTTACTAATGGCGCCATGCAGCAGCCCTAGCGCCGTGGTGGGATGTAAACAGCCAGAATAAACACAGCGCTGAACTCTCTCGGCTGATAGAGGGGTCTGCACTTCACATCATCAGCAGTTCTAAGTCAGCTGAACAGTGTTTTTCAACAGTCTTTACGTCTGAACACCACCTGTTGTTCACATAGATGCAGACACCGCCGCCTTTGTTCTTCCCCGACACTGCCGTGCAGTCCCCGCGGTGGACTGAGTTTCTAACTGGATCGCTGATTCTGGCGTGCTGTCCGAGAGCCACGTTTCTGTGAGAATAAGAGCACAGCACTCTCTGATCTCACGCTGAGTTGTTATTCTGGTTCTCAGCTTATCCAGCTTGTTTTTGAGGGAGCAAACATTAGCTAGCAACAGGCTAGGTTGAAGTGGCCGCATAGCCCTAGCCTTTAGCCTAACATGTACCTCTCTTGCCCTGCTTCCGCTTTGGCCGCTCTGTTCGTTGGCTGCGCCGCTCACCCGGCTGGTGCTGGTGGAGTACGAGCATGAAAGAAAGTTAAAGGTAAGTTCATGGTGAACTTTACCGATCTCCAGGAGTGCCTCTCTACTGTAACTAAATGTTCCGTAGGTATATTGTACATTTAAAATAAATACTGAAGTTAAAATAAATAATAAATAGCATTGGTTGCAGGAGGAATACACAAAGACGTCTGCCATGGTGGGCTCCATCTATATATATATATATATAATATATATATTATATATATTATACTATACATATATATATGTGTGTGTATATATGTGTGTATATATGTGTATATGTATAGTATGGTTAAATGATTCCACATCGTGATGAATAACCAGCTGTATTAGAAACATTTGAGTAGTACTACTTGTACAGACTTAAAGCCAGTCTTTAGAGTACACCTATAGATTGAAGGAGTTGTCCAAATGTTAAAAATGTTCAGAGCGGAAAACTTTGTTCTTTGTTACTATATTAAAATGTCATTTTGGAATATTTGTACTGTACTTGAGTATTATCTATAGCCCATGTGTCAAACATCAGGCCTGCAACACAATCCTATCCGGCCCGCAAAAGTATTTGGACTACAGTCTCCAACATGCACTACAACGTTATGTGCTCCGACTCTCTTACCCCAACAACAATTTATGGTACAGCGGCTACACCTCAATTCTACACAATTCTACACCAGTCATATCACAAAACACAATAACTGCATTTCAGCTGCAGTTCAACCAACATAAATGCCTAATGCTAGCTTAGAAATTGAGCTCTTAATAGTCTTAATGAACTTGCAGCAAAGAAAAGATGCCAGGTGTCCAGTTCAAGCAAACAGATAGTTTTAAAAGACTGAGCCCCTGGGGACATTTAAACTTTTATATATATTTTTTAATTATCCATGTAATATTTCAAGATCTACTACAAGTGTCTGTATTTTACTGCTGAAGTTTTTGCGTATTTTGAATAAACAATGCTCAGTTCAGGTTATAGCCCAACATTAGTTAAAAATAAAATTACATTTTTTTTTCTCTGGCCCTCATATTTGTTGCGATTTTTAAATCGACATCAACAAAGAGATTCTTTTTCTTCCTTTTTTAAAACAAAACTGTTCATCTTTGTGCAGGCACTGGTAGCCGCCATTAGTCACTGCATTGCACATATAGTTTGTTGAAAAGCTTACATGCTCTCAAGCACTATAGTTACTTTACTGTGTAAAAAAAAAAAAATCAAATATTTCTTTCTGTTTCTCATACATTTTCTTCCCCAGTATCAGGCCAAGCAGACAGAGAGGATGATCAGGAAAGATTTTGAGAAACTTTATCAGTTCCTCAGAGAGGAAGAGGAATACAGGATTGCAGCACTAAGGGAGGAAGAGGAGAGAAAAACAGAAAACATGGAAGTGAGGGTAGAACAACAGATACTGTCTCTCTCGGACAGAGTGAGATATGTGGAGGACAAGCTGGAGGACGATGATGTGACGTTCTTGCAGGTAACAATAGCTTTACATTCATGTAGTGTTGCTGTCTGTACAGAGAATAATAGACTTCCATGGAATACAAGTAATGACAAATTTGACGATTTGATTAGTTTTGAGTTCAAGTGCTGGTGTTCAGCTTAACGTACTGTTATACAATTTGTTGTTCTGCAATAAAATGACCATATTTGCAAAAAGAATTATGAATTCTTGTATTTGACATTAAGATTATGTTGCGATACAACTATCATCATGGTCTAAAGTCTAAAGCCAAGCCTTATGCTGTAGTTCACCTGCAATTGCTCAATTTCCCAGCTATGACACACCTGACTCATCTAATAAATATAAATGGCTTAGTTGTTACTGAGTGAGTCAAGCTAAAAATATTCAGTGCAGAAGAATACCAGGACAAATGTGTGTTACAGAACGAATCAAGCTAAAAATATGCAGTACAGGAGAACGCCAGGACCAGATGTTTGAAGTAATCCTAATGTTTGAAATAGTGTTTGAAATAATCCTGATGCTGATCAACATTTAGAAGAGTGAAACGTGAGAAGTAGTCAGCAAATTCCTGAGAGGGGGTATGCATATTTTTGGGGAAGAATGGGAATTACTGACAACTAGTGGAAAAGAGAGGTACTGCAGAATGAATTGGAAATGTGCATTTTTCTAATAGCCTGTTCAACATGGAATCCACTAAAAAACACTGAGCATGTTGTGCCAAGTTGAATTGAATCTGCATTGAATCTTTATTGTGTGAATTATTATTATTATTATTATTATTATTATTCGCTGAGTAATGTTTAGAGAAAATCATGGTACCACTTTACATCTGCTAACACATACAACTCTTGCTTGTCATTTTTCAGAACTTTAATCCCATCCTACAGAGGTACATTTTTATCTACACTATATTCCTGTCACACTCATTTTCATGCACATACACTACTGCGGGTGCCTGGATATGCTTCTTTAGAGCTTGTGTGTGTGTGTGTATTTAGAGCTCAGTGCACAGTTCCAGATCCAGAGCTGGATTCAGGAACACTGATTGATGTAGCCAAACACCTGGGGAACCTGAAATACAGAGTGTGGGAGAAGATGAAGGATGTCTGTTCTCACTGTGAGTGGCAGTTGTCTATTTCTTGTAGACTTAAAAATCTATAAATATTTCCCAATGTGTCCTTCCTTTGCCCCTCCTCTTTTCTCCAGATCCTGTGGTGCTGGACCCAAACACTGCTCCTGCAGACTTATCCATTTCAGATGACCTCAGATGTGTAGGAAAGTCTATAAGCAACCGCCCGAGCCCCATTCCTCATCACAGAAACCGAATAGTGCTGGGATCTGAAGGCTATAATGGTGGCTTCCACTGCTGGGACGTTGAGGTTGGAGACAGCAAGCACTGGACCATCGGAGTCTGTGAAGACACAGCTGCAAGAAGGCCTGTGGAATCTTTGACACCCAGAAATGGGTTTTGGGGCCTCAGCTGTGACGGTTATACCTGCAAGGTCCTGGGCACCACAAACACCTGGCACTGGTGGAATAAGATACCCAGAACGGTACGGGTTAAGCTGGGACACCATCTCATATGGAGGACAGTGAGCTTCTTCGATGCCAGTGATGGATCGATGATTGCAGGTTCTATTAAGGTGCCCTCTGTGAAGCTGTTTCCTTTCCTCATCCCAGGGGATCATCCCTCAGTTCTGCGCATTCAGCAAGATCATGTTACTGTTACTGTGCAGGAGAAATTCAGCTTCTTAGGGAGGTCCATAGATGCGGATGTGAGAACGATGCCTTTATATATATATGTATTCGTAACTGTGGCATTTTTCATAATATTGTTGTTTTTTAATAGTATTACAAATAGCTACAAATATTGATTCTAGGACCACTCTACCAAATTAGTTCAAACTGCCATTCTACAGTAAAAACATAAAAAGAAAAAAATCGGACCCTAAATATTCATAATTGTTACGATATATTTAAACCCAAAACATTAATTGAGTGAGTTAATAGCTCAAAAGGTGTTTTGAACTCTGACTTTGCATCAGGTATGTAGAATAATCCTTTGGTAGGTGGTTGGGAGCTAATTTTGTTGATGTTAAACACTAATAGATGTTAGTATGTTAACCATCATGTACAGTTGTATGCAAAAGTTTGGGCACCCCTAGTCAAATTCCATTTTGTTGATTTTCTAAGTGTAAATAATTTAACACATCCTTTACAGAATGTAGAGGATGTGTCGAATGCCTGTGCAAAAGTTAAGGCTCAATTTTTATTTTATACAAGTTTAACAAAAATGCTACATGGCGATAGACCATTGAAGAAGTTTCTGTCTAGATGGATAAATGTTTTCATTTTTTATTTAATTAAATCCTTGACTGATTTTTATTAAATTTACACACAAAAACACACACATTCATTCATATATGTGTATCGTTGCTGTCAGAAGAAAACCTCATCTCCATTTTTGTTGTCATTTTTCAGTTTTTGACATAATTTGAAAATCCCTGCTGCCCTATAAATTGTGTGTAAATTTCATGAAGAATGGACCAAAAGAAATGGCCCAAAATTACTTTGGAGGGGGGATGTCTGGTTCCATTGACTTACATTAAAAGTAAAATAGGTTTTTTCCTTCTCCTGTTAAGTTGTCATTTTGGAGATCTGGAGGTTTTCTTCTGACAACAGCTCTAATCTGTTATAACTTTAAATAAACCGCAGAATTGAAAAATGGTAACAGTGTTTTCTTAATTACTTTAATGTTGTCATCTTTTGCATTTAATTTTAATATGCAATTCAATATTTAATTAACGGTGATTAATCAGAAAATTTGAAACTGAATTCTGGATTACATTTGACAAAACTCATTTTTGGAGCCTCTCATGCTTGTTTTTTGTCAGTTTTTGAACTTCTGTCTACACTAGACTAGATATTCTGCATTAAAATGTTGAGAACTGAAAATAATACACATTCATGAATATCTTCAGTCACATCTAAAACTCCTAAGTTGACTAAGTTGAGTAGGAAAGGAGGACATGTCCACCCTGAGGCGTGGCAGGACAGAGAACAGTGAGAGGAGAGGCAGGAGAGCTTCAATCGCTCCTGTACGTTGACTTTGACAGAAATTACAGTTGGCTGCGCTAATATCTTTCACTAATAATAGCTCTCATGTTAAATGACAAAGAACTGAAGACACTTAAATGAACACTGATGGCTCAGAACTCATCAACCTGACACTGCACCTGACAAGAGTGTCACCATGAAGAACCCATATCTGCATTCACCTGATCAAAGTTCAGAGATATAGGTTATATTAGCTGTCTGTTGTCAGTTGTCTCTGACTCATGGTATTTTTCCACAGTCCACCTCCAGCTTGACTAATGTTACCATGCTCATTTTCAGTAGTGACAATTTTAGCTTATTTTGAGCAGAACACAAAAACGTTTTTTAGCTGTTTGAAGCTGCCTCTTCTTTCAACTTGAACAATAAAAAATCAAAGGGAAAAGCTCTTCCGTATTAAGTTACTTTATCTATCTTATTTATTATTTATATATATATATACATATATATTGATTTGTTTTTAAGACCATTAATGTTTTTGCATAGGAATGTAAAATAATGCATGAAAACAATCATTTGTGACAGACACCTCCCAATAGAAAGTACCCTATAAATGATGATTTTTATATATTTAGCTTACTATTGCTATAAATGCCTTGTGTTTAAATATATCATAAGAACATAATGATTGTAAATTTCTAAGGTCTTTCTAAGGTTTCTAAGGTCTGAATGCCAATTTTTTTTTTCAGCAGAGTACCACATTCAGGAGTAACAAAAGTTGTTAGAACAGAAAAGAAAGAAAGAATAACAAAGAATAAGAAAGAAAAGAAAGATCTGAGTGGTTACTCAAAGCCCACGGGGTGGTGAAATGGTATTACAGCTGTTTACACAGCAGCAGGACTAATCCTGTCCATCTCTCCGATCTCTACACCAATCACATGCACCTCCTCCTGAGAGGGAGGAGCTTCACTGTGCGAGGAAGTCTGCACTGTTTTCACTTTCTTTTCTTCAGATTTGCTTCTGCAGCGGCGAAACTGTCTAAACTCTTTCTGTCACTTCTGTTTGCTGGCTTTCCCGTCTGTCTGTCCTAATCTGTCGCCCTCTCCATGGCTTCCTCTCTAGAGGATGATCTCTCCTGTTCGGTGTGTTGTGAAGTTTATCAGGATCCTCAGCTGCTTCCCTGTGGTCACAGTTTCTGCTGCCGTTGTCTGGAAAAACACTTTGCGGTCAACTCTGCCCGAACCTGTCCTGTGTGTCGCCGGACATCTCCGCAGAAACTGGTGGCCAATCTGGTTCTGAGGAACGCCTGTGAGTCGTACCTGAAGGAGAAGGAGAAGAAGAACGATGGAGAAGTAAAATGTTCTCAACACGGAGAGAAACTCCAGCTGTTCTGTAAGACGGACGAACAGGCCATATGTCTGGAGTGTAGGAAACAGAAGCACAGCTCTCACAGAGTGCAGCCTCTGGCACACGCCGTACGGCAACGGAAGGTGGGTGAGAGAGAGAGAGAGAGAGAAGAGAGAGAGAGAGAGAGAGAGACAGAGAGAGAGAGAGATAGAGAGAGAGAGATAGAGATAGAGAGACAGAGAGACAGAGAGAGGGAGACAGAGAGAGACAGAGAGAGGGAGACAGAGAGACAGAGAGAGAGAGTTAAGTACTCTAGCATATTAGCATTAGAAATCTACTTTTTTCTTCTGTTTTTGTTAGTAAAATTTATAATTCCTTTTATGAGTGAAATTTCATTTCATCATGTAGGTCACAGTGACTGTACTGCTTTGTGATTGGTCCCTGACTTTTAAGGTTTATCAGTTTATTTTAGACCAAAAGGTTGTCCAGAAACAACTGACTAACTAACTAACTAACTAACTAACTAACTCACTCACTCACTCACTCACTCACTCACCTCACTCACTAAACAACTAACAACAACTAACTAACTAACCAACCAAATAACAACCTAACTACCAAACTAACTAACTACAGAAGTGTCATTTGACTCATATCTTAATGCACCTCTTGGTCATCATCTCTCTCCAGAGCCGAGTGAAAGTGGCGCTCCGTCCAGCTGAGAAAGCTCTGGAGGCTCTGAGGAACGGCACCACTCAGAACAGCCAGATCACCAAATACATCGAAGTAACTCTAACTACTTTTATTTTTACATGACCAAAGCCTGAGAAGGTTTTATGAAAGTTTTAATTTCTTTTTTGCCCCTCCCTCCATCATTTTCTCCTGTTCCAGTCTCAGGTCCAGCAGGCAGAGAGGCTGATTAAGAAAGAGTTTGAGAGATTTCACCAGTTCCTCCATGAAGAAGAGGAAGCCAGGGTCACTTCGCTGAAGAAAGAAGCGAAAAGGAAGAGAGACAGAGTGCAGGAAAGGATAGACCGAGAGATACTGTCTCTCTCCGAGAGAGTGAAAGAAGTGGAAGAAGAGATGGAGGATGATGGAGCCACTTTCCTGCAGGTAACAGCCATAATGCTGCTAAGGGTGGACAATAGAGCCTTATGTCAAAAGGTCATATTTGCACAGATCAGGCAGTTTCAACTACAGTATATTTACATTACAATATAGATGCTTAAATGCATTTAAAGCTTATAAACTGTAGAGTGTAATGAAAACATAGTTTGCATATTGAACTGCATATTTGTCATATTTGCCGTTTGGTCTTTATACTAAATTTAATGTAAGTCATCGACAACCTGAGTAAACACAAAGTTTTTTTTTTTGAAAGATAATTTATTGACAGAAAAAAGTTATTTAACACCAGCTGGCCCTGTGTGAAAAAGTAATTGCCCCCTTAGTTACATCAGCCAATCAACTAATTTTAATTGATAATTGGGATCAAATGAACTCAGGCATAACTACTGCCAGCCCTGAATGGCTGAATATAAACATCGTTTAAATAGAATGTAAAGTAGGCTAAAAGGTCTCGATAAAAAGACATTCTGGAAGAGAAGTGGAAAGAAAGATATTGAAACATATCAATCTGAAAAAGTGGTCCCACTTTATATTAAGTGTCTCTAATAACTGTATAGTTAAATGTGAACAACATATGCCACAACAATGTAACTATTAATGATTTAGTCAGTGTTACAGATGGATTACAGAAGTACACCTTATGTAATTACACATGTGTATCAACTTCAGTTGTAATATAGGTACAGTGCAATTACAGAGTGATAATTTTAGAATGGCAATTAATGTAATGTGATTAGATTACCTTGTTACTACACAGTTATTCCACAGTAATTATGTAAAACAAATGTAATATGTAAAAAAATACTTCTGATCCGTAGTATATCAAAAAGATACACTTGTGTAATTACAAGAGGCAAAACTGAAGTTAATACACATGTGTAATTACACAGGCTGTACTGCTGCAATCCATCTGTAACATTGATTAAATCATCATTAGTTACAGTGTTGTTACATATGTTATTGATGTGTAACTACACAGTTATTAGAGACACAATATAAAGTGCGACCGAAAAAGTTTACAGAGCCATTCTTAAGGCTTTGGAGCTCCAGCAAACCACAGCTAAAGCCATTATCTCCAAACGGAGAAAACTTGGAAGAGTGATGAATCTTCCCAGAAGTGGTCGGCCTAACAAAATTTCACAAGGAGCACAGTAATGAACCATCCAGCGAGTTACAAAAGAACCCAGATGAACACCTAAGGAACTGCAGGCCTCCCTCAGTGTTCGTGATTCCACCATTAGAAAGAGACTGGGCAAAAATGGCATCCATAAGAGAGTTAAATTTCAAAAACCACTGCTAAGAAGAAGAAAGGGTCATCTCACATTTGCCAAAAACATGTTAATGACCACCAAGCCTGTTGGAATAAAGTCCTGAGTCAGAAGTGCAACTTCTTTACAGACATCATACCAAGAGTTAAACGTGGTGGTGGTAGTACAATGGTGTTGGGATGCTTTGAATGTCTGGAGAATGTTTGGTCATCAGTCCATGATCTGAAGCTCAAGCAGAATTGGATTACACGGCAAGACAACAATCCAAAGCACAAGAGCAAATCTAACTCTAGATGTCTCAAAAGAAACAAAATCAGGTTTTGTAATGGCCTCATCAAAGTCCTGACTTGAATGCCCTTGAGATGCTACGGAAGGACTTTAAACAGGCAGTTCATACTAAAAAGCCATCCAATGTGGCTCAGTCAAAGCAACTGTGCAAAGAAGACTGGACCAAAATTCCTCCACAGTGATGTGAAAGATTGATATCCAGTAACAGGAAGTGTTTGTTTAAAGTTGTTGCTGGCACAACCAGTTATTAAGTTTTGACGGGCAAGTACATTTTTTCAAGTATGGAAATACAGGTTTGTCTTTTTTGACATTTTCTATGAGAATCTGCAACCATTAACACATATTACAAAAGTTACAAATATGCAAGAGTAAAAAAAGTCAGGAAGCAGTACTTTTTATGGCATTTTAGGTGTTTTGACCCAGTTACAGTCTCTGTTGAATGCACTTTATTGTATATATTGTTTATCTTCAGGCCTGTATTGGGATACATACACTAGATGTCCAAAAGTTTGTAGACACCCACTCCTCTAGTGTTTTTTTTTTAAATAAAGGGTATTAATAGGGAGTTTGTATTGATCATGATTAGTTGCTCACTCCAATTCATCCTAAAGGTATTGGATGGAGCTCCATCACTCTAGAGAATGCAGTTCTACTGCTCCACAGCCCAATGCTAGAGGTCTTTATGCCCTCTTGGTCATGCATGGCTTTGGGCATAGTGACATGGTGACATGGTGAAGGCTAATGTTTGGCTGCAACAGAGTGTCTCTCTCTATTAGCAGTGCTTTTCTAGGCAGAGCTGGGTAGAAAAGGAACACATGCAATGGTGTTGCCTAATCAGGAAACAAAAAAGGAGTCTTCTGTTACTGGAAAAAGAGAGTTATCAGATTACAGGTACATTATATAAATAAAGGACTACACTAAGACCACTCTATAAATAAAGTAGTAGCAGCTGTATATGATATGCATTTACTAGCGATGTTGATTGAAATGTCTAAATGGCTCATTGTCTAAATGGTTATCAGCATTATTCTGAGAGTATTTAAGGTTTAGTGAACAGTGTAGGAATTACAACCATTTTCATACTTGGCGCCCCCAAAAGTATCAAAAAGACGCACTAAAATATTAAGACACACTAATATAACCATGAATTAAATTGTCAGTTTTAGTTCTTGGTTTAAAATTCTTTGCACTCCATCACTGTCTGAATTCTGAAACTCACAGACATCACCAGATGCTGGGTTTCTTTTCTGGTGATGTTCTGCCAGGCCTATACTGCAGCCTGTCTTCACTATCTGCTGGTTTTTGGGGCATTTTACAGAGTCAGAGTCATTACATCATGATATTTTACATGGAATACAGACAATTATATGTTACATATTGCTTTTGTGATTTCTGTTTGCCTTAGGTTAAATTAAAGTCATCTTTGGGAAATTGCTTTACTCTTGTCATTTTTTAATGTATGACTTTAAAAAGAAAAATAATCTAAAAGTAACTTCAATATAGTTATCATTTGGATTAGGTTACATATTACATTTTTAAACAGATAGTCATTAATCTGCTGAAATAAACTTTTAAAGTGATCCCCTTAACCCTGTCTATTGACTTCATACAATGAATGCACCTTAAACTAACCAAATTCACTCTTTAGAAGGGCTGTCTACAGACTTGTGGACACTCAGAGCATGCTATTGCTCATTTAGTTATAAATACTACAATGCAGACTGTTAATAATGAATGATGAATTATAACACACTCCCATTCCTAATCTGAAGCCCTGACCTACACACAGCTAGTTTTGCAATACAGTAAAAAGTTTGCTTTTGTGTAGATTAAATGCAGTTTTTCTAATAATTTAATGAAAATAAATAATTTAATAATAATTGCTTTCCATGTCTTTCAGAATTTTGACTCCGTGTTGCAGAGGTATTTTTTTTATCTACAGCTTTTTTACATTTACAAACATACACTGAATGAGTGCACATGTTTTGCTGAGTTTACCTGCATGTATATGTGGATGTTTCAGAGCTGAATACACCGAGCCGGATTCAACGTTTGGTTCAGAAAGTCTCATCGACATGCCTGAACACGTGGGGAATCTTGGCTACAGAGTGTGGAAGAAGATGAAGGACATCTTTCGTTATTGTGAGTAAGAGTGTGTTTAAGTGTAATAGACACAGTGATGAAAACACTACAGCAAATCCAAGACTGTTTTTAGATGCAAAGCACCTCATGGACCTGACGTGTAAATCACTCACTCACTCATGTTTGGCAGGCTAAAGATTTTCCACAAGAGGGCACCCTGAGCACTAAAATAGGTCTTGGTGCTTCACATCAATGACACTTTTAAAGACATCACACTTTATGCAAAATCAACTGTGCATGCATGTGTTTTACTCCTACTTACAACAACTGAGGTCATTGATAATTTAATTAAATTAATTTTTAAAATTTTTACCCCCAAGCTCTCAAACTGACAGTTCCCACACTCTAGTTCCCATTAACTCTGAACTATTGCAGCATGTGACTAATGCAGAATTGACACACATTGCAATACTGCATTTACATAGTCTGGGCTGTGTAATATGTCCTTTACACAATCTGGATTGAATGTGCAATATTGTGTATGGTACATCAAAGAGATTAATAAGAAAGATTCTTATTTATGCATAAATTTAATTGAGTGCAGCTTGTTATTCCCTATACTAGGTGGTGGAGGTGGTGCCTCTAATCTTGCGTATTAACACAATTAAATACCAAGAGATGCCAACATAACAGTGCACAAATTCTAGCTTGATCATCTACCACACAGTGGAGAAGAGCTAGCCAGACAAAAAATCCCAAACAAACTCACAGTGAAAGACATGAAGTCAATGTACATGTAACACAAGGAAACAATGGTAACAAAAGACAACAGGAATATCACAAAAGCTTACAAAGCCAAAAGGGCTAGAGAGCGAAACAAGGAACAAGAAAAGTCTGGAATGTGAGAACCAGCATTTCTGATTATCTTATTATTCCACAGGAAGCCATACATATGTTCTTAGCACATGAGGTGTATGTGTGAACGTCAGGAGGTTATAAACCAGACAAGGCGCATTCTAAATGTTCTGATGATTAATGATTCAGACTATTGGTTCAGGACTTTGCTTATAACTTCCAAATCTGCCCACTCTATTTCTTTATTCAGATCCTGTGGTGCTGGACCCAAACACTGCTCCTGCAGACTTCTCCATTTCAAATGACCTGGTTTGTGTTGGAAAGTCAAGCCGTGACCGCCCCATCCCTGTACCCCATCAAGGGAACCGCATAGTGCTGGGATCTGAAGGGTACACAGATGGCATCCACTGCTGGGACATCGAGGTGGGAGGCAGCAAGCACTGGACCATTGGGGTGTGTCAACGCTCAGCACAGATGTACCATTCGGTACAACCATTGAGCCCTGAGAATGGTTTTTGGGCTCTAATGTGCCGTAATGGGAATTCCTACAAGTTCCTTGCCTCAAAGTCAGGTTGTTTTCGGCTAAAAAAGAAGCTCAGAATGGTGCGGGTACAGCTGGCATGGCAGTACTGTCTGGATTGTTTGAGCAAGAATATTTGTAGTCGGAGGAGGACATTAGGCTTTCTAGATGCTGATGATGGATCCATGATTGCTTTCACCGGAGTGCCCCCTGGGGTGGCGCTGTTTCCATTTCTGATCCCAGAGGAGCGCTTTGCTCCTTTGCATATTGCTCCTGTTGACATACCACTGACTGTGGAGCAGATATTACCTTTTGAAGAAAATAAAACAAAATACACTGTTTATGCAATAGTTTTGGTCATAGTTAGTTTCATACTTGGTATGTTGATGAGAAATGAGTGAAAAGGAGAAAAAAAGACTCATTTCAGAAACTGTGATTTAGCTGTTTTGAAGCATGTTTTAACAACCAAAATTATTAATATATTCAAAAGGTGGAGTGAAGGAATGTGTGAAAAACATCTTTGTGTAGCATCTCACATGGATTTATCTATTATTACTGGCTTGGAAAAGTTCTTTCTTGAAATTGCAAGCATGGAAACACATATAGTTGATCAATCTAACCCTCTGGGGTCTGAGGGCATTTTCTCAATTTGTTCATATCTTTTTAAATTTTCCTTTAAAGACTCATGATTATCCACGAGATCCATATCTTCCAGGACGAATCTGCTATGAATATGTCTGTTGTTTTTGTAAGTCTGCTAAGTAAAAAAAAATCAGAGTAAACTACCTTCTATAACTTGAACCTGAACTCTCTCAGTAATAGCACTTCTGCTCAAATTGACATCACAGTAATATAATAACAATAACAGGTAATAGAAAAATGGCACCTCCATTTTTCCCTTTTTCTTCTGAAGATGAGGCTACCTTCTAAAATGGAGCTTGATTTGACCTCAGCTTTCTTCAATCCAGTACTCAGGGACCTTTGGGGTTGATCAGGACTCAACTGAGAATCTCTCTAAAAGCTCTTTTCCTGGACCAAGATAGCCAACTTGCCCTATATAGATGTGTACTGTTCTGATGCCATTGTTCAACCATATTTTCTTATGTCGTTCATTTTTATCTTTTGTTGTTATATCTTCATTGTCATTATTAGAAACTCTGTTTTATTGTTGTTATTTTTATCATAATAATTATTATTATTATTCCAGTTTTCTGGTGCCTGCAAGGCTGCCACTGTAAATAAGAATTTGTTCTTGTTTAAATTCAAAGTTAAATTAAAGTATGTATTATTCTTATCTAAGTTACACTATCAAATACATAACTTATTACTTTCACAGTACAACATTCAAGAGATAAGATTAATAACTGTAATAACAACCATTGAGTTTAAGGGGCCATATTGTGTCTGGTTTGATTGATATGTGTTCTCCTAAGGTGAAAACATTAATTTGCGTCATTAATTTAGTGTATGTAATAATAATTATTATGCTTAGCCTATGATAAGTCCAACAAAGTGTCCAAATCTGTTGCCAAAACCTATTCCACCCAGTTCAAGGTGGAGGAAAACCAATCAACCACATGATAAAAGGCACATCATCAAACATGGCCAAGAGAAAAGCAAGTACCTGCAGCGTGTATAGACTTCATGAGTGGCTGACATGAGTGGACATAATTGTATTATTATTATTAAACAAAATTGTGAATAATGCAAATTAGTTTTTGACCATAAAAGAACACATATTTCCAAGCATATAAGTCATGATTATATTAATATCTGTTTATAAAACAGCATTATTTTATATACTAACATATTTTAAAATAAGACAAACCCCAAACTCTTCTTTATATACAATGTTCTTAAGAACCTTGAGGCAGAAGCTCTATTTTGATTGATACATGGAATCTGATTGATTGATTGAGTCCCAGGCTGTTGTAGACTTAATATGACTTGTTGATATTGTGGTTTAGGCTCTAGTAGATTTGTCTGGATTGGTTGGTGTTTTGGCTTTAGCCTCTGGTAGACTGAATCTGAGTGGTAGGTTTTGAGTTTAGGCTCTGGTAGACTGAATCTGACTGGTTGGTGTTGGGGATTAGACTCTGGTAGACTGAATCTGAGTGGTAGGTTTTGGGTTTAGGCTCTGGTAGACTGAATCTGACTGTTGGTGTTGGGGTTTAGACTCTAGTAGACTGAATCTGAGTGGGAGGTTTTGGGTTTAGGCTCTGGTAGACTGAATCTGAGTGGTAGGTTTTGGGTTTAGGCTCTGGTAGACTGAATCTGAGTGGTAGATTTTGGGTTTAGGCTCTGGTAGACTGAATCTGAGTGGTTGGTGTTGGGGTTTAGGCTCTGGTAGACTGAATCTGAGTGGTTGGTGTTGGGGTTTAGGCTCTGGTAGACTGAATCTGAGTGGTAGGTTTTGGGTTTAGGCTCTGGTAGACTGAATCTGAGTGGTTGGTGTTGGGGTTTAGACTCTGGTAGACTGAATCTGAGTGGTACGTTTTGGGTTTAGGCTCTGGTAGACTGAATCTGATTGGTTGGTGTTGGGGTTTAGGCTCTGGTAGACCGAATCTGAGTGGTACGTTTTGGGTTTAGGCTCTGGTAGACTGAATCTGAGTGGTAGGTTTTGGGTTTAGGCTCTGGTAGACTGAATCTGAGTGGTAGGTTTTGGGTTTAGGCTGTGGTAGACTGAATCTGATTGGTTGGTGTTGGATTTTAGATGTTGCTAGACTGAATCTGATTAGTTGGTGGTGGGATCTAGGCTCTAGAGGACTGGACCCATGCTGATGTCTTCATAATCATTATCAGTCTGACATCACAATAGCATGTAGGCACTGCTTCCCATTGAGTATGCTGAATGTGGTTAAAATAAAACCATTAAGCATAAAAGGACAATTAATTAATAATTTACTGTCTGTTCAATAATCATCCAAATACAATCTGTGACTTGATTTTTGAATAAATATCAGAAACTTCAAAAACATTTTGTAGTTATAACAATAAATGTACTGATGATGGACTAAACAATTCTAAGTGCTATAAAGAGCATTCCCAACATATGTTTTTCAAAACCAATACATTAATAAATCCACAATAGTTTAAATGTGTATTTCAACTTCTTTACTCACTGTTTAGTTTGTTGGTGGTCTGGAGATGGCAGAGTCTGTAAAATGAGAGAAATCACAAAGTTAATCACATAGTTCTTGTGCACCATTAAAATGTAATTATTCAAATGCAGAGGTAGTCTTTGAATATCTGATTAAATACAAAGATTTCAATTTTCAAATTCAAGTTCTGAACGACTGGTCAGAATCATAGTCAGAATCTTCATCTACCTAGTATTTAATGTGGAAACAGACAGTATACAAACAGTCTATGAATAATATAAAGGATGTTAAATGGTAGTATGGGAGTTAAGTACAGTTACAATTATAAGTATTAAAGTGCATATAGACATTATGCACAGCTACAGCTGAAGATGTGACCAGTAGTCTATAACATCCTTTAGAAATGATGTGCATGGGGACGAATAACAGTCACTTCACTTGACATTATCACTGAAGGGATTCTGGAGGCCTTTGTTGCTTTGAATTGACTTAATTCAAACATATACATTGGTTGCACATGAATAAAATACATGACATCAACAATGTTTGTCAACATTTCTGTGAATGTATAATAATTTATTTGTGTGACACCAGTGTACACATTTGAGTGAATTAAATTCAAAGTAATGTTTGCTTGGGTGTAACAATTCTCATTCTCCAGCAGAGGGGGCCAATGGAGATTTCATGCCCTGTTGTGGATTACTGTAACAATATACAGCATAGGGTGCTCTCTTGTGCCATCTCAAAGGAGGTAGTAAATAATAATTTATATTATTATATAAAATAAATATTTAACAATAGGAAATAGATTAGTAAAGCTTTATAAAAACCTTATAATAATTATTTAAACACCTGACAGCAAGGATTTTGTTTTTCAAGCAAATGACCAGCAGCAACATCCACAGCAGGGTAGAAGCTCGCTGGTAAAGATGAATCTGCCAGAAGTGAAGAAAACACCTGAAATCTTTTCATTAACTTTAACCAGATCATCTGAAGAAGAATGTGATGCAGAAGTGGAATTAATTTATCGTCTTACATGCCTTATATTTCTGTATTTTGCATGCTTGAATGGTTCTTTTCATGGTGAAATTGTTCTTCAGATTGATGGAGAATGAGTTGTATATGGTTCTATATAGAACCATTCATCTATTGTTACAAGTAACAATAACATAACCCTTTTTGGTGCTATATAGAACCATTTTCAAAAACAAATACAACACATTGTCTATCACTCCGAAGAACCATGTAAGCAAATGGTTCAGTGTTCAGAGTTATATATAGAACCATTGCCTTCACTAAAGAACCCTTGAAAACTCGTCTTTCTTATGAGCGACCATGTTACATCTCTACCCGGCATACAGAAAAGTCCTCAGGCAAGCTCCCCAGTGAGTAAGACTGTTAAAGCATTGACTGAAGAAGCAGATTAGATGCTTCAATACGGCTTTGCTGGCTCCAGCTGGGAGGTGCTCAAAGATGCTGCTGTGCCAGAGGATGGTGGTGTTGACCTGGAGGTCTGATTTAGCCCTTGTGTTGAAAACATAGTACCCACAAACCTCAACTGCATAAACCCCAATCAGTAACACCAGATAAACAACAAGGTTCAGTCCTGTGTGCCTGCCCTACTGCATTTCTCTCAGGCAGGTCTTATGTCTACAAAAAGGCCAGGTACGTAGATACATTCAAGAAACTAAGAGACAATACAGACTTAAATTGGAGCATCACTACAACACCACTGAGACCAGACGCACGTAGCAAGGACTGAAACTGCTCACAGATGCTCAAAATAAGCATAGACGACCAACCATCCTAACCCTAACTTCCACTCTGCCCTGCTAGATGAGCTGAATGACCTCTATGCTCACTTTGAAACCCTCAATGCAAAACCACAGAAGAGGTTTCCGGTGGGCGAGCGGACGCAGGTGCCAGCTCATAGAGTTTCATCTGCAGCAGTGAAGAAGACTCTGAGCAGAGTAAACCCACGAAAAGCAACAGGCCCAGATAACATATCTGGTGGTGCACTCAGATTATGTGCAAGTCAAGTCAAGTCAGTCAAGTCAGCTTTTATTGTCAATACTACAATATGTACAGGACATACAGAGTATTGAAACTGCGTTACTCTCAGACCCCATGGTGTAGCATTAACATATATAATATAAGAAGGCCCTGAAATTAACAATAAAGTGACATAAGGCATAAGTTGCTGATGTCTTTGCAAACATATTGAACCTCTCTTTAGCATATGATCTAATTCACACATTGAGACAACAACCATTGTGCAGCTCCCAAAATAAAGTGGTCTTGTCTTGACAACTGCAGGCTGGTTGCAGAAACCCAAACTGCTATGAAAAGCTTTGAAAGACTCATCAAATCAAATACTGAACAGTGTACTGGACACTCTGGACCCCCTCCAGTTTGTGGATCCGTAGAAGGCACTATTTGCAAAGCCATCCACAGAGCTTGACTACAGCTTGGCGATAAACACTACAACACACAAGCGTGGACTGGACACAAGCTGGGACAC